GGTGAGTTTTAGTTCTGCCTTAGGCATGAAAGCTGACTGGGTGACTTTGGGCCAATCACCAGGAGACTGGGAGTTCTAGTCCCATTTCAGGCAAGAAAGCCGGCTGGGTGACTTTGGGCCAATCACTAGGAGACTGGGAGTTCTAGTGACTCTGGGCCAGTCAGAAATCTTTTTCATTTCACTCTCAATTTCAACTGACTTTAGGTCTTATTGGGTCTACGGCTATCAGCTGAATAAGCGAAGGCTTACTTGAATCTGCCCAAATGTCATAGAAGTCCCTAGAGGGATCAGTCCCGCTGTCTGCTCCGGCTATGTTGGCTTTGGGAGGGTTTTGTAACCTTTGCTGAAGGAGCCGTTCTTTTCGGGGCACCAACCCCTTTTCTGCCAGCTTCTCCCAGAGTCGCTGTTTCCGTTTCAACTTCCGGCCGTTGGGGACCTGATAAGAAAGGATGCTGAGGAGGAAGGAAGCAGGTTTTAGGCCGGACAGCTTGGCATGGCTCAAAACAAGTTAAAATGGCGTAATTCACATCTACCACTAAGCCATAAATCACAGCTAAGCCATAAATCACAGCTAAGCCATAAATCACAGGTAATAAACTGAAGCGGTTTCACGGGGCTAGCTCAAAAATCCTTCCTCTGCATGCCAAGGGACAAACTTAGACAATCCTCTATTTGAACATTCATTGCGACATTTTTCCATTTGAAGAAGATGGCAACAACGGGACCATTTCGTTGGGACACAATTCCCAGAAGAATCTCAATTTGTGGAAGCAGCTCTGCTAGTCCTTGACTTACAACAATTCATTTAGCGATTGTTTGAAGTTACCATGGCACTGAAAAAAGCGACTCGCGGCCATTTCCCGCATTTTCCAGCATTGCCCATAGTCACGTGATCAAAATTCAGGTGGCAACCGGTTCGTATTTATGATGGTTGCAGTGTCCCAGAGTCCCCTTTGACGACCTTCTGATAAGCGAAGTCAAAGGGGAAAGGAGTTTCACTTAACAACTGGGTTACTAACTTAATCAACTGCGGTGACTCACTTAAAAGCGGAGGCAAGAAAGATCGTAAAATGGAGCAAAAGTCAGCTGCCTCACTTAGCAACATAAATGTTGGGCTCAATCGTGGTGATAAGTCAAGGACTATCTATAAAAGGATAGCACTTCAAAGATGACACCGGACAATCAAAAAGTATTCCATGAAGAGTTATACGGGAGAAATTCTGGGATCAGGGCAGCCCACACGGGAGAAGGGAAGAACGATGGCAATTTTCGAACATAGCCAAAACTCAGAAATGGAATCTGAATATTTTTCAAAATGACAAAAACAAAAGGAATTTGGTTGTTTACTTCAGTTTTTCACTTTTTCAACTGCCCTGGACTACTAAAGCCACAAGAAGAGACCTACAAATTAATTAAAATAAGACCCATTCCTCTGCCTTATGCTGCCTTTTCCTGAATCAAACATCCTTTCCCCCGAAAATGACAGAAAGAGATCCTGAAAAGGAATGAAGATGCTGGCTTCCCCACACACATCTCAACGAAAGGCAGAGACAAAACTCACTCTTTGGGCGGAGGGACCTTGGAATCTGGCTGTAGGATCAAGTCAATCTTCAGAGGTTTCTCTTTGGCTGCTTGCTCTTTCGGACCTGGAACAAGAACCAAGGCAGGAAATGAACCCAGGCGTGCCAATCACACCAGGGGTAGTTAACAGCCAAGGTGAGGACTTGGGACTCTAGCAATGAAACCACCCGATTAGGTCTCTTTCCCTTCGTGTGCTCTGCGTCCAAAATGCCTGGTCAAAAACTCGATTTGCCGGTGGCACTAAAGCCGAGCTGCAAGAGAACTGTAGCCAATTCCTTTTATTATGCTTTCATTAAAACTGTTTTAACATGTTTTAATGTTTGAATTGTAGTGTATTTTTGAATTATAAGTTGCCCAAAGTCACTGATCGAGAGGAGCAGCTATAGAAATGGGAAAAAAAAGCCTGCAAATCTTTACTTCCAAGGTGCCAGCTAAGGGAAGAACCAGAAAACACCATTGAGCGAAAGCGATCGGAATGAATCACTGATGATCTGAAAGAAACAGATTACGGGGATACTGTAAACCACTGAAATGACTACTAGTCTTACCCTCAAGTCTGACTGACTTTTCCCCTCAATTTGGTTCTACGTTCCCATTTTTTTAGGTACTCGAGTCCCAAAAGGGTTTTGTTGGACTTTACAAAAGCAAGACAGCAAGGAAAATTGACTTGAGTTGTGGTGCCTGGAAAAGGCTCCTGCATATTCCTTGGACAGCAAAGATGACTAACAAGTACTGGAACGCGTAACACCAGACATGTCACTGAAATGCAAAATCACAAAACTGCGCCTCACTTATTTTGACCGTCTCATGCAGGGGAATTTCCTGGAGAAAGGAATTATGTTTGGAAGAGTTAAGAGGTAAAAGGAAACGAGGCCACCTGGAAACAGGGTGGCTGGACACCATCAAACCTGACCCCAGCCACAGATTCAATGGAACAGGGGTGTTAAAACTCAAGGCCCATGCACCAAATCTGGCCAAAGGGGTGCTTAGATCTCACCAGCAGGGCCGCCCTGGAAACAGCAAAGGATCAGCCCACGCAACCCTCCCGAGCTCCATTTTCGCTGGCAGAGGGTTGCAGGAGGCCTTTGCAGCCGAAAACGGAGCTTGGGAGCCTGTTTTCCCTAATAGAGCACTCAGACGACCGCAGGTGCCCCCGACACGTCAAGTTGGCCATGCCCCGCAGGTAAAACACAATCCTGATGCGGCCCTCAATGAAATCGAGTTTGACACACACACACACCCGCAATAAAACAATTCAAAATAGTAGTGCAAGATTGGGAGATGTGGAGAGACGTGGCCCATAGAATCGCCAAGAGTCAGGCGCAACTGAATGGGTAACATCATCATCATCATCACTGTGTTGCAACCTCTCACCTTGTTGTTCGTTGCTGGTATCTACAAAGAAGAGGCTTTCATCTGGCTTTTCCGACACTGGTCCTCTGAGGAGAAACACACACATACAGATATATATATATATATATATGGAGCCTCTGTGGTGCAGTGGTTAGAGTGCAGTATTGCAAGCTCCTTCTGCAGCCAGCTGCCTACAATTTGGCAGTTCAAATCCCACCAGGCTCAAGGTTCACTCAGCTTTCTGTCCTTCCAAGGTGAGCACAAAGCTGAAGACACAAGCCTGAAGATGATGAATGAGACTTCATCGAAACGTTGCCTAGATACTTCCAATTTTACGCGGGAGAAAACCCGAATAACCAAAGATCCATATATCCACATATGTATATGTATGTACGTATGTATGTATATGTATATATATATGCATGCAGGTCTTGGCGTGTTCAGGTCTTTTTCTGTGCAAGATTGAGAGTATCTTGGCAACGTTTCGACGAGGTCCCACTCATCATCTTCAGGCTGGTGCTCATGGCTTCGTGCTGGTGCGAAAAATATAAATAATCTTGATGAACGACCATGAACTATATTTCTATATTTACCTACCTAACTGGAGCCACAACACCTATCTATCTGAGAGAGAAATTATATATATAGAAATATAGTTCACGGCCCTTCCTCAAGAGCTAATACATTCCTGGGTCCTCAATAATGGGAAGCAGCCAGTCTTCTCCTCCCCAATTCTTAACCCTGTGTGTGTGTGTGGGGGGGGGGGGGGGGCTTCATAACCCTGGCTGCATCCCCAAGGTCACAGGGTCAAAATTCGGATGCTTGGCCACCAGCTCGTACTTATGACAGTTGTAGCACG